ACGCCCGAACGGGCGGGGGATTGGGCTGGATCCCCAACCTGTACATAGATCAAGGCCCCAAAATCGGGAGCCCAAAATATCAACGATCAAGATACAAAAGTCTACAGAGTCTCACTAATGAAAATCAAAAACAAAAGAAAAAGAAAAGAAAAACCGAAAAACAAAAAGAAACAAAAACTACAAGACCAAGTCGATCTTCGGGCTAACAGATGCCCGACAAATATGTCTATGCTAAAGAAAATAGAAATCCTAAGCTACCGAAAGCGGAAAGCTGGATATCCAAGCTGGTCCATCCGTACAAGAGTGCGAAGGCGGAGTGGAGCAGTGTCGGTCTGGAATGTATGTGTGCCTGGTGTGGTGGCGCCAAGGCTGGCCAGGTAATCAGCCGGTCTGTTCCCCTCATGGAAAATGTGCGTGACTTTGTGGTGGACTGACTGAAGTAGATCTCTAATGCACAGAAGCGGGTGCTGAATCTGCCACGATCCCTGATGGCCCGAAGTCAGGAGGGTGGCGACAGCCGCAGCATCCAGCTCGATCCATATATGACTAGAGAGGTGTGCAGCAATCTGAAGGCCAATCTGTAGTGCCTGAATCTCTGCATCGTAGCTCGAGGATGCCTGAATGGACGCGTGGAAAGCGGTGATGAGGGCACCCCTATGGTCCCGAATCAAGCCTCCTCCTCCGGCAAGTCCAGTGTGGCGATCAAAGGAGCCATCAGTGTTCAGCTTGACCCACGGAGAGTCAGGTCGAAGCCAAACAACAGCTCTGGCCCGTGGAGGTCGAACAGGCGGTGGTGGGGCCACCATATAGCGATCCGGTGGCGTGCAGCCTGTCCAGTCTCGGGCCGTGAGCTTGCCTAATGCGATGAGGAGTGAAATGTGTCTCTCTACCTGTAAAACAATGTGAGAAAACATAAAAGTAATATCCCTATGCTTCGCACTATTCCTTTCTGTCCAGGTGAACCAAAGGATCAGACAAGGAATGAGGAAGCCCACGTGTCTAAGGTGTGTACTCTGTGAGAAAAAACTCAGGAGCTCAAAAAAATTGTATGTGGTGGGTAGGGATATATGAGTCCTAGTGGCAAAATGCTCCCACACTCTCCTCACAATCTCACTCTCTAGAAAAAGGTGGGTAAAGGTCTCAGTCTCATGGCGTCCAGTCTCAGAACAACACACACACCGAGAGGGGAAGGGGATCCCTCTCTCGTGTAGCACAGTATCGACGGGTATCCGGCGCAAGAGGAGGCGCCAAAGGAACACCGAAATAGTAGGCGTGAAAAGGTCACTCCAGATAGCCCCGAAGAGGAGATTAGGCCGATCCCTCAGCCTTATCTGCTCCCAAGCCGAGGTAGTAGAAAACACACCTGATGATGTAAGTCTCCACCTCATGCTATCTGAACCGTCCCCCGAGATAGGGATCTGCTGGATCTGATCTAAAAACTGCTCGCTAAAACCCGCACCAGCCCCCAACTCCCTATCAAGCTTCCCCCTATCCCACGACCCGTCCGACCATAGGTCGCTCACGAGCAGGTAGGGGGAATGCGACACCTGCCTATCCCTAGACAACGGCCTATGTCTTTTGTTGCTAGGTTATTTCTTTCTTGCTGCTAGGTTAGTTGTGTTTTGTTGCTAGGTTAGTTGTCTGATGCTGCTAAGTTAGTTGTGTTTTGTTGCTAGTTTAGTTGTTCTTTCTGCTGCTAGGTTAGTTGTGTTTGGTTGCTAGGTTAGTTGTCTTGTCTTTTGTTGCTATGTCTTGTCTTTTGTTGCTAGGTTATTTCTTTCTTGCTGGTAGGTTAGTTGTCTTTTGTTCCTAGGTTAGTTGTGTTTTGTTGCTAGGTTAGTTGTCTGATGCTACTAAGTTAGTTATTTCTTTCTTGCTGGTAGGTTAGTTGTCTTTTGTTACTAGGTTAGTTGTCTTTTGTTGCTAGGTTAGTTGTCTGATGCTACTAAGTTAGTTGTGTTTTGTTGCTAGTTTAGTTGTCTGATGCTGTTGTGTTTGGTTGCTAGGTTAGTTGTCTTGTCTTTTGTTGCTAGGTTATTTCTTTCTTGCTAGTAGGTTAGTTGTCTTTTGTTGCTAGGTTAGTTGTCTGATGCTACTAACTTAGTTTTGTAACCCATAAGATTTGAACCTGGTACCTCATGGAAGCAAGACAAGCAATGCAACCACTACACCACTCAAGGTTGAGTGTCTTTTGTTGTTAGGTTATTTATTTCAATGCAACGGGTCAACACCGGAAGTCAACGGTCAACGCCGGAGTCAACTAATAATTATTTTATTATTTAATTAATATATATTTTAATTGATTTTGATCTAGACAAAATGCGTGGCTAAGATTGAGTATCACGTACTCATTTTAAGGAGTGGTCTCATTTGATCCATCCCCTATATATATATATATATACACAGAGATTCTTCTTGCTTTTATTTTCTTTTACAAAAATTCCTCATGTTGTCATCAAGAAAAGAAAAACGGATACCAAACATTAATCAAAGAAATATATCCAATCAGAACCAAGGAAGAAACTAGAAAGAAAACACAGCTACTTTTCACAATGTTATTAATCTGCTACACTAATCTGCAACAATTTTGCTACTAGCTAACTCCCATGACATCGACCTTGCACCAACCATTATTGTAATGTCAATTAAAATTTGAAGCCACATATTTACAGACTTAGAACAGTGGATTCTCTTGCCTTTTCCAATACGATTATTTTGATTAAATAAACTATGACAAATTATGAACCACAGTAATTTAAATGAACTTGGAATAAAGTGAAAAATCAATTCCGTTGCAGATGGTTCTTAATTATTTATCTAATTTGCCTAAAAAAATATAAGAATTCGAACAGGGCATGGAGTAATGTTGGAACTATATATATATAAACAGCTAACTCAATTATTAAGGACCGGACCATAACTGTAGCAAGATGGACCATATCAATTGTGCATAATTGAATTGAGGTTGCATTTTAATTTATCGATGCATAATCAAATTGAAGTTGCATTTTAATTTTCTGAAGCTTTGTACGTATATATCTGTTTCTTGGAATATATGAAGGATAGCAAGCAAGCTATATAAAAAGGAAGATAAGATGATCCATCCACAAAAAGGCTTTTGGAATCTGGCATATTTTAAAAGGAAAGACGAACAATAAAAGTCGTTATTCTATATTCTTATTAAAGTGATTGTGCGACTACGACTTCATCTGGTGATTAATCCCTCAATAACTGTAGTAAAAAATAGGAAATTACTGCGAAGTTACGTACCAATTACCATCCATCTCTTATGTACAAAAATTGAAAAGATTTTGTTCGCTCAAAAGTTTTGGAATTTGCATCATTTCTTTCCAAAAGCAAAATAAAAATAAAAATAGTGTAAAAAACATATATATACTACTCCTCAGCCCCCAATCCCCATAGCTAATTAACGAGTACATAGTTTTTATTTTCGGTCTCCTTTTCGTTATTCTCTTCTTTATATCCATCTCAGCCCAAAATTGAACAAAGGCAACAACACTATGGAATATGGCAGGCTCGGAAAAACCGAACCTGCTGCCGCACCGGCCCAAAACCCCGACCCACCGGTCCGGCCCGGGAAACCCAAATTCCGGCTACTGCTGATCTCAACGGCCGCGCTGCTGGTGGCGGTGGCCGTCTCCGCCGCGATTGGGGCTGCGGTCATACGCAGCAGAGGCGGGGGAGGGCGGCGGCTCCGGCCGTCGCGGGCCATGTCGCGGGCGTGCGGGAGGACGCGGTTCCCGGCCCTGTGCGTGGACTCGCTGCTCCATTTTCCGGGGGCGGCGGCGGCCTCCGAGGAGGAGCTCGTACACATCTCCGTCAATATGACGCTTCAGAAAGTGGGCCGAGCGCTGTACTCCGCCGCCGGGATTAACAATCTCGATATGGATCCTCATGCCAGGTCTTTTTTCTTATTTTATTATTATTAATAATAAACCCGTCGTTTTCATAATTTAACTTCGCTGAAGGCTAAATTGGGTATTTGGTAAGTTTAAGTACCGAAAAGGCATGAATTTATTAATTTGGGGCTTTCTACTGACTTATATGGATATTAAATATTGACAAAAATTTTGATTTGACACCCACGTGGAAGTTACAAATAAAATAAGAGTAAAAATGTTTGCATTCTATTTTCTCGTATGGATCCACGTCTGTGAACATGTTTTTCATCATTCAAACAACTCAAATCTAATGTGCACGGTTTAATGGTGAACAATTCTGATTAATGAGCTATTGTAGAATCTAACAAACCATGAATGTCTATTTCTTTGTGAAAATATTGGCTGCGTTNGGCCTAAAAAGAGCTTTTTCATCTATTAATTGTTTGACTTTTTACAATCAGCTAAAAAACATGTTTGGTAAACAACTTTTATAATTAACTTTTTGGCCCAATCAACTAATGTGGGAAACGCTGCTTTTGTTAGCGTTTGATGTTGGCGGTTCAAGAAAAAAAAATACAAGTCTTAATTGTCCTCACTTATACCACATGCACGTAAACTTGACAACACTCTCTTCAATCTCACATTTATAGAAAAAGTCATTTTTAATCAAAACTTGTGCATTGCTCGTACTTTTTATCCAAACTTGTAGCAAAAAAATATATATCACAATTTTCATATTTAAAAATATAAATAATATTTATTTTTCAAAACTATAATTAATGAACATAAAAAAAATATTTATAAATGTCATTCCAACTAATTCTATATAATACTTCACAACTAATTATACTAACTATTTTATAAAATTTTAAACATATATAATTTTAGTTACTAGATGTACATGAGAACTTTTTAGAAATTGTTAATGTAAATTTTAGTTACTTATATATTACTTATTTATTTATTTTAAATAGTGATGACTTGTTATTAGGTTTGTTTATATAAGGTGAAATTATTTACTCAGTTAAGAAATATATTTTTTATTATTATTTATATTTTATTATATTTTAAATCACTTTAATAAATATTTAAATATTAATTATTTTTATTTCCTAAATAATTGTAAGTTCAACATACATAAGAATGATAAATTATGTTGATGTCCTTATAAGTATTTTTACATGTTAACAACTAATTAGAAATAGCTAATTTTACCAAACACTCTTCTACAAATCGCTAACACAATCATCTGGTCAAAACAGCTAATACAATCCGCTGGTCAAAACAGTTAATGCAATCAGCTAATTGCTATCAGTTAATCGCTAATTACCAAACAAGGCCAAACTATTTAGTGAAACCAATAAATTCTTCCAAAAATCTAATAATTTTGGAGCTAGCTAATTCCATTTCGCACCAACATTATTGGTTTTATTTACAAGGATTTCCAATGAGTTTGAACTAAACCATTCTAGTGATGTCCAAATTAAATTACATTTTTTCAGTATACTAATATCATTGATTATTTGAGGGCAAACAAATAAAAATTAGCACTTTGAAAATGCATAAATCTAATTCAACTGAAATCATGTATAACGAATGCATGCATAAAACCAGTGAGCATCACGATATGATTTGTTAATTTTA